AGCTATATGAGTCAGACAATGGGTCGGGACCCATTAGTGGACTGAGAAATCAACTTAGAAGGTTGTTACCTGCATTTGAAAAATAAAAAAAAAGGAAAGAAGAAAGAAAAATATATTAGTGCATCCAGTAAGATGAAGTACTATTTTGTAAAACTTGTCTCATGTAAGTACCTAATAGACCACAGTGTAGAATGTATTTCTTGCTGTGGATTGTAGTCAAATAAGTTGAGAAAACCATGGGTTATAAGACCCTCTGAAACTGCCATCACATCATATTACATGTGCCATCAACTCTCTGTGTTTTACCCCCTAACTTCTAAGATGTTTTCACTTGAACTGCTCCTGTTGTTAAGTGCTTCTCCCATCTTTAATTTGCACAGATGTGGTTTGGGGCCTAACTATGAGACCCCATTTACCCTGTTGAGTTTTTTTCTCTCCAGCTTGTTGACCTTTTGGTACCTAGTTCTGTTACTCAGCATAGCTTTATCCCTTCTATTTTCAACATCTGCTTATTTAATAAGTATGTCTTCTCTATCATTATTGATAAAAATGTTGAACAGGGCAGTTCTGAGAGCAGAGCCCTATAGCAGGCCGCTAAAGACCCTTCGCCCCATTGTTATACCACTTGTACCTTTTGAACATCGTCCTTTAACCAGTGGTGAGCCAGCCCTTTCAGCTTATAATTCTTTGTAGCTGGCCTTAAAGAGGTCATGGCAGACCTTGTGAAATTCGAACATTGATAGCCCAAATTGTAAACTCAGAAGCCTATAGGGGCTTGACTGGTAACACAAGTGAATTAAGTGATAATTAATTCAGGCAGTTAATAAGTAATCCCTGACCCCGGCCTTGGTTTCAAGAAGGCAGTGCTGAGTGGGAAAGCTGGCAGTGAGCTGGAACAGTTATATTCTGTGTAAGCAGTAGCCATTTCTCAGTGGCAGACAAATTTGTCAGGTAGAAGTATAGACCTTCAAGAAAATTCAGGTTTTATATGGAATTTGATTTTTGATTGCTGGCAAAATAAAAACATTAACGCTGTATAAGCCAACAAAAACAGATCTGTGACAGAGTTGGCTTGAAGCCCTCGGCTTTGTGACCTGTCGACTATGTTATCTCCCCATCTGCTGGTCCAGTGACCACATGACACAAAGTGGTTAAGACAAGTTGGATATTGGCGGGTTGGTGGCCTTCCTCAGAACTTTACTCCTTGTGGTTCCTTTGGTTACCCGTTAAGGAATCTTACCTGGGACTGTCTTTAAACTCAGTGGACTGAAGTTAGGAAGGACACTTGCCCTTCTGTTGACAAGCTTCCTCCAGGATCACTGGCAGAGGTTGGGTTATGTATCCGTGGCACCCCTTGGTTGGGAAACTGGAATTTAGAGTTTTCTTAAAATCTCTCCATCTGTGCTGGCTACCCTTACCTCATATCTGTGTCTTTGTTGTCTTTCTTCTCTTTTTGGTCTGAGAAGCATTTTCTTTCCCAGGGAATTCAGAGGTCCAAGAGCTCTAACCCTGCCTTGTTCTTATTCACACACCAAAAATAACTTTTTAAATCCCTTTTAGTTGTCTTGACCATTTTGGGGAAGCCTCAGCTTATGCGGCATTTGTCTTTCTGATACTGTTTTTGCGAGTCCATGCTGCTCTCTCATGTTTCCTCTTGGTTATGCATGCTCCTATGTCTTGTATACATAAGCATGTAAGATTTGACCACCTCAGATTTTGTAGCCTTTGTTGTTTACACTAGCTTAGGATTCTAAGAAAGAAGGAAGGGTGTGCTGGATGATCAGTCACATTCTTAGACTTCTGAAAGGTAATCTTCACCAAGGTCAGGAAAAGGCTGGCATATTCCATGGCCAGTGGGGAATGGGAGGCCATTCATTTTCCTGAGAATGTGTTACTGTGTGTTAAGATTTTGGACCTTGCCTGGCTGGAGTGACCATCTGGTGGGAGATACAGTCACTTGAACAAATAATAGTAGTGACATGTGATAAGTGCTCATCGAGGTGCCATGGGAACCTAGGGGAAGGAGCCACAGATAATTCTGCCAACTAGGTAGGGGAGTGAGCTGATGCTTGAAGGATGAGCCAGATAGGTCTCTCTACAAGGCTTGGAAGGGCACTTCTGGCAATCAGAACTGCATGTACAAAACCCGTTGACACCCGAGAACATGACCTGTTGGAAAAGTCATTTGTGACCAGTAACTGGGACAGGGATGAGGATGAAGCAGGAACTATGTAGGCTGGGGCCTCTGCTCATCTCTCACGGGGCTGTTTCCAAATCCCAATTTTCCACCACCACTTTGGAGTCCACGATGGCCTTGTCTGACAGTTTTAGGACTAACATCATTTTAGTCATCTACTTAAGAAACACTTGGTGTTCTACCTGAGGGGTCAATTTCTTTTTTAGCTTTTTATTTTGATTAAATTTTGAAATTTATAGAAAAGTAGCAAGATAGTACCTGGGGCCTCCCACATACTAAAAATGTGTACATTTTGCCTCATTGGCTTTATCATTTTCCCTAAATGCATGTATTTTTATATTTGCATATTACTTTTCTGAACCTTTTGAGAGTAAATTGGAAATACAGATACTCTTTGACTTGTGATTGGGTTATGTCCCAATGAACTCGTCATAAATTTGAATGATTATAAGTCAAAAATGGCATTTTATAGTCATGATGTGATGCAAAAATACAAAACACCAGCAGCACAGTACACTGTAGAGTATTCATTGTTTACCTTCGTGATTACGTGGCTGCCTGGGAGCTGAGGCTCCTGCTACTGCCCAGCATCGTGAGGAGAGTATCGCTGGCCCAGGAAGAGATCACAATTCAAAAACTGAAGTGTAGTTTCTACTGAATGCATGTCACAAAGTCAAAATCTTAAGTCATGGGCTGTCTGTACCGTGTCCCTTTATTTCTTAACACCTCAGTGTGTGTGTCCTGAGGACCAGGACAGTCTCTAATGATCTGAGTCAAAAAGATTAAGATTGACAGACTACAGTAAGTCCCCTACATACGAATGAGTTCTGTTCTGAGAGCATGTTCTTTTTTTTTTTTTTTTTGAGTTGGAGTCTCACTCTGTTGCCTAGACTGGAGTGCAGTGGCCGCTCCCGGTCACCGCAGCCTCAACCTGCTGGGCTCCGGCGATCCTTCTGCCTCAGCCTTCCAAGTATCCGGAATTACAGGCATGCGCTACCACGCCCGGCTGATTTTTTGATTTATTGTAGAGATGAGGTCTCGCTGCCCAGGCGGGTCTCGAACCCGCGGGCTCAGGCAATGCACTCACCTCAGCCTCCCAAAGGCACGGGATTACAGGCTGAGCCACCGAGCCCGGCTGAGCATGTTCTTAAGTCCAATTTGCTTGTAATCCAACAAAGTTAGCCTGGGTACCCAACCAGCACAATCGGCTATATAGCACCAGCTACATCACTACTGCTTTTACACTTGCTTTCAGACATCCTGGGCTTGAAATAAAGATACTGTACTCTACTGTACTCTATATACTACTGTATGGTAAAGTATACAAAAGTACAACCACGTGTAGAGGATGCATGCACGTGACAATGTATGCCAGACACATGATCTACTTACATGATTGGACATGCGAATGCATACTCGCATCTTTGAAAGTTTATATGCAGGAGATTTACTGTCTCTTGTTCACATCCATATACAAATTTCATCACTAGTCCCAGTAATATACTTTATAGCCATTTTTTCCCAGTTTGAGATCTAATCCATGAACATGCAGTTAGCTGTGGGTCTTGGGTAAGTTAAAAGAGATTGCCTTTTTGACTTAGAAATTTTTGAAGGGAACAATCCAGGTACTTTCTAGAATGTACTTCAATTTGAGTTTATCTTATATGTCCTCATGGTTAGATTCAAGTTAAACATTTCGGCAGGAGTCTGGGTGAGTGATGTTAAGTCCTCAAGAAGTGTGTGATGTTGATTTGTCCCAGTATTGCTGCTATTGCTCACTTCGGTCATTGGGTTAAAGTGGTGTTCACTAGATCTCTCCACTATAAAGTTATTATTCTAACTAAGGAGTTTTGAGGATGCTTTGGTACCATGCATCTGTTCTGTGTCTCATCAAGCTTTCACCTGCTACCACTGCTGACTTTCTAAATCGGTCATTTTATGTTTTTTCTTGGCATTCTATAGTGAGGGAGAACTTTCCTTTCCTGAGGGGTGAACCTGCAAAGTCAATTTCACATCTTTGTATTCACTTTTAACTTGCTGGGATGGCCCCCTTCCTCTCAGACCCTCCTCTCTTGTGTGCTTCTGTGGATATCAGAAGTGTATAACAGTTCCTGGGCTTGGGGAGCAGCCTGAATCTTTCTCTGAGCAGCAACTTGCTTGTCATTGGCATGACTAGCTCGGCATGGGGCTAAACACAGGCTGTGCCAAATCATCAGTGTTTTCCTCAGGCCTGGGGCTCTGTGTGGGAATGTGGTCTGTCGCCAACTCTCTGAGCTCAGCCTGGACTTAAGTGAGCACGGTAAGAGAGAGAGAAACTGGGTTCTTCCCACTAGGAAGCCATGACTGACCCATGTCCAAGCTGAATTTGTTAATCAAAGCTACTGTTTCCCTACCCTGATAGACACACATTTCATGCTTAGGGCACATGGTTATATGCAGGCTTGGTTAGCTCTTGACAAAAACCAAAATAAGCATAGTATGAGTATGATTTCGGTCATTGTGCATTAAGGACTTTTGTTTCCTTGGTTTCAGGAGAGTCTCAGTAGTGCGGTCAGTTGAGGCTCTAAAAGGATCTGAGTAACATTGAGAATCTCACATTAGGATCTTCTTTCCATTCCTGCTGGTGAAGCTAGCTGGGGAACAGAGACATGGGAAGGTGAGCTGAGGTTCGAGAAGTAGCAGAGAGAGGATTTGCAAGAAAAGTCAGGGTTAGATGTGCTTTTGAGTGGTGTGAAGCAGAGACGCTTTTCAAATAGCATGGTTCATTTTTTTCCCCTTTTTTCCCCTCCCTCTCTCTCTTTAGACAGGCTCAGAGCTCAGCCCAGTTGATGGACCTGTTCCAGGTCAGATGGACTCAGGGCCAGTATACCATGGGGACTCACAGCCACTAAGCGCCACAGGGGCGCCGGTCAATGGTGCTAGAGAGCCCGCTGGACCCAATCTGCTGGGTGCTGGGGGTCCTTGGCGGGTAGACCAAAAGCCCGACTGGGAGGCTGCCCCAGGCCCAGCTCATACTGCTCGCCTGGAAGATGCCCACGATTTGGTGGCCTTTTCGGCTGTGGCCGAAGCTGTGTCCTCTTATGGGGCCCTTAGCACCCGGCTCTATGAAACCTTCAACCGTGAGATGAGTCGCGAGGCTGGGAACAACAGGGGCCCCCGGCCAGCTCCCGAGAGCTGCTCCGCTGCTGGCAGCGAAGACCTTGACACATTGCAGGCAGCACTGACCCTTGCACGGCATGGCATGAAACCACCCAACTGCAACTGCGATGGCCCTGAGTGTCCTGACTACCTCGAGTGGCTGGAGGGGAAGATCAAGTCTGTGGTCATGGAAGGAGGGGAGGAGCGGCCCAGACTCCCAGGGCCTCTGCCTCCTGGTGAGACTGGCCTCCCAGCACCAAGCTCCAGGCCGCTCCTCAGCTCTGAGACCCCCCAGTTACCTCCCCCAGAGGGCCTACCCCTGTCCCAGAGTGCCCTGCCCCTGTCCCAGAGTGCCCTGCCCCTGTCCCAGAGTGCCCTGAGCATCGCCAAGGAAAAAAACATCAGCCTGCAGACCGCCATCGCCATCGAGGCCCTCACACAGCTCTCCTCTGCTCTTCCCCAGCCTTCTCATTCCACCCCCCAGGCTTCTTGTCCCCTCCCTGAGGCCTTGTCCCCTCCTGCCCCTTTCAGATCTCCCCAATCTTACCTTCGGACGCCCTCGTGGCCTGTGGTTCCCACTGAAGAACACCCGTCCTTTGCTCCTGACAGCCCTGCCTTCCCTCCGGCCACTCCGAGAACTGAGTTTCCCGAAGCCTGGGGCACCGACACCCCGCCAGCAACACCCCGAAGCTCCTGGCCCATGCCCCGCCCCAGCCCCGACCCCATGGCTGAACTGGAACAGTTGCTGGGCAGCGCCAGTGATTACATCCAGTCAGTGTTTAAGCGGCCTGAGGCCCTGCCCTCCAAGCCCAAGGTCAAGGTGGAGGGGCCCTCTTCCTCTCCAGCCCCCTCTCCAGCCCCTGCTCTCCAGAGGGAGGTTCCTCCCCCACCCTCCGAGCCTGATGCCCACCAGAAGGCCCAGACTGCCCTGCAGCAGCACCTGCACCACAAGCGCAACCTCTTCCTGGAACTGGCCCACGACGCCTCCTTCCCCCCTCCCTCAGAGCCTCCTGCTCCTGGCTGGTGGGCCCCGCCAAGCTCGCCGGCCCCACGGCCTCCCGACAGACCACCCAAGGAGAAGAAGAAGAAGCCCCCCACAACAGCCGGAGGTCCCGTGGGAGCAGAGAAGGCTGCCCCTGGGATCAAGCCCAGTGTCCGGAAGCCCATTCAGATCAAGAAGTCCAGGCCCCGGGAAGCACAGCCCCTCTTCCCACCCATTCGGCAGATTATCCTGGAAGGGCTGCGGTCCCCAGCTGCTGAGGAGGTGCAGGCACAACCACCTGCCCCTCCCCCTGCCTCACAGGTCTCGACTGTCCCCCTGCCCCCAGAACCTTCTCTTGCGCTATTTGCACCTAGTCCCTCCGGGGACAGCCTGCTGCCCCCTACTCAGGAAATGAGGTCCCCCAGCCCCATGGCAACCCTGCAGCCAGGCTCCACCGGCCCTCTTCCCCCTGCCGATGACAAGCTGGAAGAGCTCATCCGACAGTTTGAGGCTGAATTTGGGGATAGCTTTGGGCTTCCCGGCCCCCCTTCTGTGCCCATTCAGGACCCTGAGAACCAGCCAACGTGTCTCCCAGCCCCCGAGAGCCCCTTTGCTACCCGCTCCCCCAAGCAAATCAAGATTGAGTCTTCGGGAGCTGTGACTGTGCTTTCAACCACCTGTTTCCATTCAGAGGAGGGAGACCAGGAGGCCACACCCACCAAGGCTGAGAACCCACTCACACCCACCCTCAGTGGCTTCTTGGAGTCACCTCTTAAGTACCTGGACACACCCACCAAGAGTTTGCTGGACACACCTGCCAAGAGAGCCCAGGCCGAGTTCCCCACCTGTGACTGCGTCGGTAAGTCCACCTGGGTGTCAGGGAAGGGCAAAAGGTTGTGTGGCCTTTTGGGCTTGGATTTGTGGGCTGTTTCATTTGGCAAACATTAACTGTGTGTCCACTGCCACACTGGATCCTGGGAACGCAAAAATGAGCTCATAGGCTAAAGAAAACTGATATGGTACTATGGGTGTATGCTACATCAGTAGAGGTGGGTGTAGGTGCTTTGTCATACAGATGGGATTGAGGCATCATGGAGACCTTCCTTGTGGGAGGTGATGCTTGTGCTGAGCCCTGTAGGGCCATCAGGTAGAAAGAATACATTCTAGGAAGAAGGGTAGCTTGAACAACAGCTTAGTGGCTGTGAGGATAGGACTTATTTGGACTGTTCTTGGTCTGTCAAGAGCAAAAGGAGTTGGGTATGTGTGGGGGTGAACAAAAGGTCGGTTAGAGTGGGGAGAGGGGAGCAGGCTGGGGCCAGATCGTGCAGGGCCCAGGGACCTATGATCAGGAGTTTGATTTGACCCCATAGATAATAGTGAACTTCTGAGGGTTTTAAAGTATGCAATGCTCTGTCACCTCCTGCTTTTGAAAGACTCTCTTGGCTTGTAGGGGGGAGCAAAGATTGGCAGGAGAACCGTAAGTCAGTGTTGTCCTGAGCCAGGCAGGAAGTGACAAGGCCCTGGCCTGAAAGAGTGGGTAGCAGAGGGAGCAAAGTAGGGAAGGGTTGTTGAAAGGTCTCTCAGGAGGAGGGGATAAGGACAACTCAGGTCTCTGCTTGGGGGTGGTGGTACTCACTGAGAACACAGATTTGGAGGAGAAGGGATGAGTTCCCTTTGGGCATGCTAGTTTGAAGTGACTTAGGGACCAGATCAGGGTCCGAATTACGGGTTGAATGTAGTTAGCAGACAGGTCGCGCCTGAGAGTGCTGAGGGGTCCAGTCAGCTTCTAAGCCTTGCCTCTGAAATAAAAGCAGGGATTGGGCCTCTGAGGACTGCTCCCTTGGATGTGCACTGTCTCGGAGGAGGTCCCCAGGGCAGTGGTAAACTCTGGGTCTACTCTTGGCTCTCACTCTCTGTTTATGGAGTGTTCTGTAAAAGATACATGCGCTTCAGATGTTGACGGAAAAAGAATGATGCTGGCTAAGAGCGTATTGAGTTCTTGTGATTTTATGATACATAAACGAGTCTTAGAAAAAGACTGTCTTCTCTGCTTGTTAAAATGTGTAAATGTCAAGTAAAGTGTGTCCCAGTCAATGGGAAGGAGCTGAGCTGTTATGTCCACTTCAGTTACAGACAAAGCAGAGAGGTCGGTGACAAGGAATTGCTTGGGAAACAAGGAAAAGTTGGCCCCAGTGCTTCTATGTGGGGGTGAACAGATGTAGAAGGTCCTGCCAGACATTCACAGATCTGCTTTTACATTGTGGTTCCCACTAACTCTGTTCATTCTTAGAGATGACTTTGAAGACCCCTTATTTCCCTGCTTATGGGGAAGTTTGTTCTGATCACAGGAACTGGATCCCCTTGCCTCTTCTCTCAGTGTGTTTGTGTCTGCCCCATCTGTCTGTGTTTAGTACCTTGCGTCTCCTTCTCGAAGATAGGAAATATCTTACCTAGTGTTAGTTGATCCTTAGTAAATATTTTAATTGTTGATTTGAATTATATGGACATGATGTTTGGTTAAACTAGTTTTTTTTTTTAATTTGAATTCCAATGCCATCATTTACTAACCGGGCACACTTAGGCATCTTATACAACCTGTCAGTATTTCTGTTTCCCCATATACAAAATGTAAATGTTAATAGTACCTACCTCACCTGGGCTGTTGTAAGGATTAAATTAGTTAATATGTGTAAAGCGCTTAAAACCATGTCTGGACAAGAGTGTTAGCTGTTATCAAAGCTATCAAGTCCAGACAGAGTGAGGTGACTCATACCTGTAGTCCCAACACTTCGGGAGGCTGAGGCAAGAGGGTTGCCTAAGCCCAGGCGTTTAAGACCAGCCTGGGCAATGTGGTGAGATTGGTCTCTACGACAAATAAAAAATCTAGTTGGGTGTGGTGATGTGCGCCTGTAGCCCCAGCTACTCAGAAGGCTGAGTCCAGCAGTTTGAAGCTGTGCTAGCTATGATTGAGCCACTGCCCTTCAGCCTGCGTTACAGAGTGAGACTCCAACTCAAAAACAAAAACAACAACAAAAAACAAACCATCAAGTCAAATAAGGCAAGAAAAAGAAGTTAAAAACAAAGAAACAAAAAGACACCTTTTTAAAGAAAGAAAACTATTGGCTCTTCCTTTATCATTTATTGATAGCTTACCAGTAATTAACTACCAATAAGGGTAAACATTTAAGAGAAATGGCTCATGACTAGAGCACTTTGCGGTTTACTTAAGAAGACAAAATAAACAGATAAAATATTCAGTCACCCATTCAGTGATTGTCTGCTGAGTGCCTTCTACCTCCAAGGCCTGTGCTGTCACGTGGAAGTGGCTAAATTCTGAGAGTGCCCTGTAATAGCAGGCTTGGTTGTCATCACGGAGGGTAAGGTTTATTTTGAAAACTTTTGTTCAGAGCTGGGCCTTGAAAAATGTAGTGAGCACAGATGGGGAGAGGCAAGAAAGCGGTCCCTTCAGGTTAAGGGTGCATAAGCACAGTCTTAGGGGCAACAAGGAGGAAGCTTGCAGGATGGAAGGCTCTCTGCAGGGGTGGACCTGAAGCCTCAGTGTTCTGCATTCCTTGGACCTGAGGAGTCCCCACCAGAGAGGGTATATCTCAGCCTGAAGTCAGTGAGCAGATACGCAGGCAGTAGGCTGTCAGCATCAGAGAAAGCCCGAGGCAAATGGCAGTGTTGGCAGGTATTGCCTTGGCACACGGTGAGGGGCAGGGACAGTAGGCAAGAGATGAGGGGATCAGAGGTTCCCATCATTCCCATCACCGTCCATTATTTATTACTCCAGTTTGTATTTTATTTGTATTTAATACAAACAAAACATTTACATCTAATTTTAAGCAAGGAAATAGAACCAGACCTACCTTGTGCTGTTAAATGTTAAATTATAGAAAAAAGCTGAAGTGAAAACAGCAAAATGAACAGTATATATAAATGATCATCTCACTAAGTTAAAAAAACTAGAAAAAAGACTAGAAGGAATTATGTCAACAGTGGTTTTTTTCTATGGGCGACTTCTCCCTTATGGTTTCTGAATTTTCTATAAAGAAATATGTATTTCATAATCAGATATCTTTCAAAGTGCCCCCTAGCAGTAGCATGGAAGTTGGATTGGTCAAGGGTGATAACCTTGTAGCAGGAGATCAGTTGAGAAGCTGTTGAGAGCAATAATACTAATAATAGTATTTGTGAAACACTTGGTCTGTTCTAGGCACTGTGCCAAGTACTTTGTAGTCACCACTTATTTAATCCTTGTAACAGCTACATGAGGTGAGTACTGTCCATGGCTCCATTTTAATCATGAGGAACAGAAGTTAAGTTACATAATTTACCAAGGTCATACAAATAGTAAAAGTGAGATTTGAACCTATGCACTTGGACTCATAACCATCAGATGCCATTTTGTGATTGAAATAGCAGTTGAGAAACAAGTCCTAACTAAAACAATGGTGGTAGAATGAAGAAGGCCAAGTAAGTGATTTGCTGTGAAACAGTTTCTGGAGGGCCTGAGGATGCTGTAAGGGAAAGCCATCCTGTTTTTCTAGAATCGCCTGGATAGGTGCTTCATCTGCTGTGGTAGAATTTGTCTTTGTGAATTCAGGCTCAGAGTAAGACTTAGAAATAAAAATGTTCATTCTGGGATTACTGTCAGATGGGACAGTCCCATTTTCAATAAACTCATCCCCTCACCCATGGTAAGGAGAGAGGAGTGGATTAATATAAGGAAGAATTTGCCATAGAAGTGAATGTGAAATTTGGAGACTCCATTAAGTGCACCTAATAAACAGCTGGTAATTAACTTTGGGAAAAACTTTATAAAACCATAAAAGTTCTTATAACATAGCAAAAGAAACCTATTATTCAAGTTATTTGGTAGTTTTTGCTAAAAAAATTTTTGACCAACGTGGGCATCACCAGGCAGCACTTGCATTAAAAAAGATATGAGTTTCTGAAGTTCTGGATGGGATTCATATGGATGTGTTCTCTGAATCCTGAAATATTAAAATTAAAAGCACCTCTTGAAGCTCCAAATAAGTAAAATTAGAAGAAATGCCTCCTAAATGGAAGGAAATGCCTTCCTCTAAAAGGTAGTATGATATTTACAGTTTTGAGAAAATTTAACACAAGTTGAGCTTCTTTTCTTTTCTTTTCCGCTTCAGATGGTTTTTATTGTGGGGCCGGGGTTGGGGATCTTTGGACCGGAGGTCTGGCCCAGTTAAGTTGCTCTGGACGTGCTGGTGGGAGCAATCCAGGTGGCATGGTGGTGGGATGCACCTGGGTCCCAGGGCGTGCAGTATCCCGGCAGTGCTCAGGGTGGAAGGGAGCGACGTGCGAGCGCCTGGGGCGCAGGGGTCTCCTGCGCAGCAGCGCCTCCAATATGCCCTCAGGGAGCACCTCGGGGCCCACATCCTGGTCAGCTGAGGCGGCAGGGGCGGCCACCGCCTCCGGGTCCGCGCTTCCTGCCAGGATCTGCCACAGCAAAGACCTCAGCAATTCGGGGTCCACGTCTGGTGTCTCATCGCCAGCGTTCTCGGCATCTGAGCCTGCAGTGCTGTAGTCGTAGACTGGGGGCTGGAGTCGAAGCGCAGCGGCGGGGCCGGGCGTGGGAACAAGCTGGGCTGCGAGGGCGGTGGGGTCAAGGCGAGGGCGGAGCCGGGCACAGGCAAGCTGCGCAGCGGGCGCGGCGGGGTCGTCGTCCGGGCCCAGAGCCGGGTCGGAGGCGCGGGGGAGCCCCAACGCGCAGCGGCTGCGCCAGGACGCACGCCTGCTGATCCTCAGCCTCCTGTGCCTCGGCATGCGCCGGGTTCTGCCGCTCGGCCTCCAGCAGGTGCACCGGCGCCTGCTCCTGCACCG